CTACTTAGGGACTTTGGGTTTAGGGGTTAGGCTTTAGGGTTTACTTAGGGACTTAGGGCTTAGGGTTTAGGTTTTGGGGTTTAGGGTCTACTTTGGGGTTTAGGGTTTGGGGTTTAGGGTTAAGGGTTTAGGGTTTAGTGGTTTAGGGTTTAGGGTTTCGGGTCTACTTAGGCTTTAGGGTTTAAGGTTTAAGGTTTAGGGTTTAGGGTTTGGGTTCGGGTTTAGGGTTTCGGGTCTACTTAGGGGTTAGGGTTTCGTGTCTACTTAGGGTTTAGGGTTTCGTGTCTACTTTTGGGTTAGGGTTTAAGGTTTAGGGTCTACTTAGGGACTTAGGGTTTAAGGTTTAGGGTCTACTTAGGGACTTAGGGTTTAAGTTTTAGGTTCTACTTAGGGACTTTGGGTTTAAGGTTTAGGGTCTACTTAGGGACTTAGGGTTTAAGGTTTAGGGTCTACTTAGGGGTTTGGGTTTCGGGTCTGTTTAGGGTTAAGGGTTTAGGGTTTAGGATTTAGGGTTAAGGGTTTAGGGTTTAGGGGTTCGGGTTTAGGGTTTCGGGTCTACTTAAGGTTTAGGGTTTAGGGTTTAGGGTCTACTTCGGGGTTAGGGTTTAGGGGTTTAGGGTCTACTTTGGGTTTAGGGTGTCAGCTCAAAGGCTTGCAACATTCATCGGGTTTCGGGGGTTGGGTGCCAGGGGGTGAAGCACGGTTTAGACCTAAGGTTTGAAGTATGGGCCCCTAATATGGACCCTTAGGCCTTTCTAGGGACCCTTAAAACTACATATCTGGTATATAGTAGGTGCATCAGGATCCCAAGGGTAAGGGCCCTTACGAGGGGCCCATGGGTTCAACCTTAGACTAGACTAGACATGTTCATCGTGGGGATATGTAGGGATGCTCGCGTCAAATGCAAGACCTTTCAAGCTTAAGGTGGCGGGCCACTGGCTGATGTGAGGGTAGGTGCGGGGTTGGAGACAGACAGGTGGCTTGTTACATAAGCATAAGCATTTTATAGGGATATCCCTACCATATTGGGCTTCATTATAAGGGGGTTTATATGTGATATCCCTATCCCAATTTTTGCTTACGTGCTTTTTTGGGGCCCTATGTTACCGGCATAGTCTGATCCCAGCCATCTGGTGTCCCAAGCCACGCGTCACTCTTCGAAGGACGAAGGCAAATACCCCGTGACACAGAAGTCAGCACAGTTAGCACGAATGTCCTTGTATCATTGTGCTACAACAGAGCCAAGCACCCTATCCCACGCCCCCATATTTCGGATCTGAATCGTGTACGCAGCCTCTTTCTTTTCGCGCTTGAGAACAAGGCTTGGCCCCCCGACCATGATCGTGCCAAATCAGATCCCGGTCTCCGCGGCTCCGGATGATGACTTCGATCATGTCGACGTCGTTGTTCCACTCCCCAGTGAGAGGCAAATCCTTCCAGCGGCAACGGAGCCCGAAGAAGACACGGCTTTGACTGAAGACTTCCTCGCTGGCCTGGTGGGCCGCATGGAGCCAATCACTCCCGATCTGCTCCGGGCTACAAGAGCAGGTTCAGCTCTCCAAGGATTCGGCAAAGCATTACGAGGCTCCAAGAAACTGTATCAGTTGCTTGGGTGGAGGTTTACTATAGGGGCCTTCTTAATGATTAGAAAAGGGTTTTGGGGTATATTTGTTTGTACTACTACAAGGGACAACCTAAATAGTATTCTCAATTATTTAGGCCCCTATATTAGGTATCTGTGCGCTTTTGGTTCACGACCCTTTATCAGGTTACAAGTTGATCCATGTCTCCCGTAGTGCCATAGCAACTCTGCACGTGAGGTTGAGCTACCAGGCCAAGAAGATCAACACGTTTTGGAGTCACAGCTGGCATGGTTCAACTTGGCGAAAGTACATGACTCTCCTGCTCTTTTACAACGGCGCAGTTGCGGCAGTCGTCGCCAGTCGTCGCAAGACTTGGCTCGGCCGTGGCATCCGTCCTGTTTGCGCTAGAGTTGTTACCGGTCCTTCGTGAACCAAACAAAGATACGTATTGGCAGTCGTTTTGGGCAGCACTTGTCGGCATGATCCTGTACATCTTGACATTGTTGTTCTACAGACCAGAAGCCCCCATCTTCCTCGATGTGGTCTGCATAGACCAGGTGAATGCAAAACGCAAAGCACGGGCATTACTGAGCATGGGTGCGTTCCTAAAGGCTTCTCGCTCAATGCTGATTCTTTGGGATGCCACGTATAGCGATCGTTTGTGGACAATGTTTGAGGTTGCTGCGTTCTTGCACAGCCGTGAGAAGGGCGAGACGCCAAAAGTCGTTTTGAGGCCCACGATCCTAGGCCCTTGCTATCTCGTGCTAACGCTGACTTTGATCCTCGTTCTCACCATTGGTGACAATGTCGCTTGCGACCTCTCGGCCAGCAGCCGCTACGTAGTGTGGGCATTTCAATTTCTGATTTGCTGCTGCGGCCTGTCCGTGAACATAGCCGCTTTCAGGGCGTATTTTCGATCAGTGAGTGATTCCCAGGAGAAGCTGGCGAGCTGGCGGCTTGCAGATGTGAAATGCGCTTGCTGCGACACCGGACATGTTCATGGCGGTGGAATCTGCGACCGAAAGGTTGTACTGAAGTGCATCCACCAGTGGTTCGGCAGTCTTGACAATTTTGAATCCCGCGTGCGAACGGAGATCAGGGAGACTTTTGTGCACGAGCAGTCCAGGCAACCCTTCACCTATGGCCAAGTTGTAGCTGTTCTTGCCCCAGTTATCTGGAGCTACCTGGACAGAGCCTCGGCACATGCTCGCTTCACCTCGTGGGATCCATGGTTGCAGGCGGCAAGTCAGGTCGCAAGAGGACTGGCTTGGTGGTTGGTGCTGATCCAGTTTCGGCTGGCATGTCGCTTCCAGAGAGAGTGCAGATGGCCACGATGCGACCCCTTCCTGAACTTGCTGCCGCTCATGGCTGTTGTGCTCGTCCTTTTTCTGGGGGTTGTGGCAGAGCAACTATTCTTCAAGCTCACCTTCATTAGGCCCGGACACGAAGACAACATGCTCTTGTTCGCCCTGATTGTGATCCCTCTAGCCTGGTTGCTTTACAGATATGTTGGGGCCGGACCAAGGCTGGTCCAAGCGGAGAGTACCATAAGTGCATGAATCTGGGTTCTTGCTAAGGAACTTTGGGATCTATAGTAAATAATAGGGTGGCAACAAGAATCCAGGAAATCGCAGCTGTATTCGCCACCGTTGCTTTGCCAAAGGGCAGCGGTGGTTGTCTTGACTTTCAACAAGTATTCTGCACGAGCTTTCGGAGGGCCTAGTTGAGCGCGGCCTCTGTGAAGATCGTCTGGTAGTTCTTTATAAACCATTCTCTGTTTCAAGTAGACTGTGAAAGGAATGAGCGAGAGAATGCAACGAAACACACGAAGGCAGCAACACCCGCTTTCGTGTGACTCAATGACTGCGTCGGCAGTAATGATTCTAGTTTGTACGGTAGCTCTCGCCAGAGATGGTTCTAATGGTGCTTCTTAGACGTTTGTGGCTACTGTCATCTGGCCCAGGAACAAGCGTGGCATGCAGGAGACTTAAGAGTCCTCAGCAAAGTCTTGCTTTTGCTCTTCGAGGTGCACATGCTCATGTCCCTGAGGGGATACTTGTGGCATTGTACCTGTGTTTTCCAATCGACTAAGTGAGAGGTGACCTCGGCTTTCGTGATCTGTGCAATTAATTCTCCGAGCCGTGGACAAATTTGGAGGGTTCTCTGAATTAGGGTCCCGTTGTCAATGCCATCAAAGAAGATATCACTAAGGGACCCTATTTTAGACAACTACCCCAGCGGCGTGGCTGAAATGCCTTCGGTAGCATGGCGAAAGAGTCCAGAGTCCGCAGGGCGTAGTGCTTTGGCTGTTGTTTGCATCAGCCATTGCTTGTTCGGGCTGGATCAAGAATCCTGGATTGTGGGGCCCTAAACCCTCAGCCCTTAAACCCTAAACCCCTAAACCCTAGGTGCTTCGACAGTAGGCCTGAGCCACAACAGCAAACCCACAACCTTCTCGGTTTTCCCTAAAGGGGTATAGGGGTACTTCGCTAAATTAGGGTCCCTTTAAGGGTCCGTTTCATAAGAGTGCCGTTCTTGTGGGGGGGACCCAAAGAGCGACCCTACTTTAGAGAACTACCCATATTATGGTATAGAGCGTGTTCCAGAGTGTTTCTGCGCTTTTTGCGTAGGATCGGGTCTGTTGGCTTCGGTTTAGGGTTTAGAGTTTAGGGTTTAGGGTCATGGCAGTGACAGTGACTAGGAACAAGATCCCGATGCACGAACCGATCTGCAGGTTTCCTACACACTGAAGGTGCATACCATGTAGGGTCCTTACGATAATATGGATCCTGCCTTTAGGATTCTGGGGGCTCATTTTCTGCAACTCCCCGCTCCTCAACCGCAGGGGGCGAAAGCACCCAGGCTTCACGCTTCTCGTACCTTCGACTCCCAAAACCCCAAGCCTGGAACTTCACCCTCAACCCTAAACCTTAAACCCTAAACCTAAATCCTAAACCCTAAACTTAAACCCTAAACCCTAAACCCTAAACCTAAACCTAAACCCTAAACCCTAAACCTCAACCCTAAAACCGTGGAAACTGAGGCTGCGGGGGAAGCGCCAGGACCCGGCGAGGAGCCCATGCCTGCATAAAGGATTTAGGCTTTAGGGTTTTGGGTTTAGGGTTTAGGTTTTGGGTTTTGGGTTTCGGGTTTAGGGTTTAGCATCTAGGGTTTAGGTGGATCCGTGGGAAGCTTCTTCGGGGCTGACTAGGTAGTCTTTATCCTTTTTGGGTTTAGGATTTAAGGTTTAGGTTTAGGGTGTTGGGTTCAGGGTTTAGGGTTTAAGGTTTAGGGTTTAGGTTTTGAGTTTTGGGTTTAGGGTCATATAGGGTTTAGCATTTGGGGTTTAAGTTTTGGGTTTAGGGTTTAGGGCTTTGGGTTTAGGGTTTAGGGCTTTGGGTTTAGGGTTTAGGGCTTTGATCTAGGACATTTTCAGGTGGGTAGTTACCGTTATAGGATCCTTATAGAAGGTTTATATACCTTATGGAAGCCTTATAGAAGCCCTATATGCCATAAACTCCCCACCTGTAGGTTCCTTTAATTCAAGCCCTTCTGGTAAATATGTACCACTGAGTGGATGTTACCTTGCAGCGTATCTGTCTAGTTGTCTATATTAGGGTCCCTTTTTCTTAGGGTTCCGTGCTACTTTCGGGACCCTCATTGAGAAAACTATGCATATGCTCATGCGCTTTTGTAGGCTTCAAGTATGAGACTTCGGCGGTTTAGGGCTTAGGTTTGGGGGTTTAGGGTTTAGGGTCGTCCGAGAAAGCTAGAGAAATGGGTAACATAGGGGCTGATTACCAAAGCTATGCTGGGGGGATCCTTAATAATATACTGCAAAGCCCAACGCATTCCAACGCTTTTATATTACTTGGGTACCGACGGTCGAAATTTTGCTACACTGGCGCGAATTAGTAGTAGGACCCGCTTAGAGTCCAAATATGTTCCAACAAAACTGCACTATGCTACAATGATCAGCCCAAAAGGCCCTATGCTAACTGCTCAGGCCCCGATATGAGGTCAGTTGTTTGGGGTCAGTGTCTTGCCAGACCAAGCTTTATGGATGTCAGGGTTGGTATAAGCTGGAATAGCTCAATTGTGGGGTCTTGGGGGAAGGACGTACAAGTAGGTTGCTGTTTCCGGGCGTTCGGAAAACTTGGGTTCTACTAGCTGGGGGTTATACTCGGGCTTGGTATTGGGTCCACCTGTAACCCAGTACTGCGGCAGGACGATGGTTCGTCGTAGTCTGGCATATTGGTCTTGAACACCTTGCAAAATCCCTTCCCCCGACTCCTCCAGCAAAGTCCTCCGTCAGGAACATGAGAGTAGTATAGTTTTATTCCCCTGGATTAATTCCCTCCGCTGGCCAGGCTACGTAAAATACTGTTTTTTGTTGGCACTCCTCGTCCTCCGCATGATCCCATAGGCAAGTGCGAGGAAACTGTAATCCTGGCGATGTAGACCTCCCCTTCTATTGGTTCTTGATTCCTTTAAATAATGATCTTTCGAGGAAGTTTTGGGCTTCAGGTAGGGTTCACCTGTAGCCAGAAACCCTACAAAACAGTAGGTTATGACCCCTTAATCTACCCATAGGCCCCATAGTAGTTCCTTTTTTGGGTTACTTTACAGGTTTCTATATATGAACCCCCAAAAGGAACTACTTTAGGGCCTATGGGTAGTCAGAGGGTAGAACTTCCGCTAGAACCCTTACAACGGTAGGGGAATGGAATCCAAAATTCTAGAATAGGGTTTGCGAGGTTCCTTTAGAGGGTTTTTTAAGGGCTACTATCAGGGTTTAGGGTGTCGGGGCCTTAATAATTAGAGTAGGGTTTTGGGGCCCATTATACTTCAATTATGAGTCCCAAATTCACAATTTAAGGATTCAGAGTTCTGGCTGGCTTCCAGACATGCCATGTTTGCTACAGCACTAAACTCGAAGCGCGAAACGCTAAAACCTTAACTGAGCTTCGGCCTGAGCTGCACTCCGCCCTCTTAGAGAAGCAAGACAATGGAAACAAGTGGAGTAGAGTTTCATGCAATGGGTTGAGGGTGTAAGGCTTGAATCTCAGGGCTTCCTGCATCAACATACACCTTAAAACCTAGCGCCTAAACCCTAAACCCCAAGCCCTAAGCCCAACCCGAGGCCCCTAACAGCCTCAAAACAAAGCTTACTGTATTCCAAGGGTAACCCTTCCTGATGCCTTCTATAGATCCCTTACAGGAGCCGAAGATCAAACCCTAAACCCTAAACCCTAAACCCTAAGCTAAGCCTCAGGCCCTTAAGCTTGAGCCCGACAGACACCTCGCCGAAACGGGAGGAGTTTGCAAAGGCATTGCAGGTAAACACGGCAGCCCACTCTGGCGTGTTTAGAGCAGCCGAGAAGCTCATGATTTCACTTAGGGCTGACGGGTTTGGAGTTCAGGTTTTGGGGCGGGAGGGTTTAGGGTTCAGGGTTAGTTAGGGCTTACAGGTGTAGGGTTTAGCATTCTAGCATTTCAGTGTACGAGGTGCAGGTTGCCTGGAGCGTGAGAGACTTAATATAGAAGCCTACTAATTACCAATATTATTGTTCGGGTTTCGTATTATACCCATACTATAAAGGAGCCCAAAACCCCATTCTAACTACTAAGGCCTACATTTAACCATACACCCTAAACCCTAAGCCGCTGCCTGTCAGGAAAAGCCCACCCCACTGCCCCAATATTGGCCCCGAAGAAGGAGCTACAACTATACTTTTATGTCCTGTTTATTCTCATGATTGTTATTACTCGTACTGTTTCTATTGCTGTTACACTTACTATTACTACTGCCATTAACATCACTCTCACTCGTACTCGTGCATATTTCTGTTAATGGCATGGTTCTGCAGGTGAAGAAGAAGATGATGCTTACTATCAGTACTACTACTATAACTGTGGGCAGCAGTGATCATATTAATGATAATGATAACGGGATCCTTGTGGTAAACACCTCCGAACATGGAACCCTCGTAGAGAAAGTCTCAGCTGTGTTGCATGGCCTCCCTCTGCGAAGTCGACGGAAAAGCGTTGTGCCCCGAAACCCAAAGCCCCTAAACTCTACACCCTACACCCACCCTAAAACCTAAACCCTAAACCCCTAAACCCCCCACCCACCGTTCTTGGTTTGTGGCAACTGGCATCCTGCAGCTGCAAATGTGACACTGACGACGGAGTCTCTGGAAGCTGGAATTATAACGGAGGTCTGCCGATACATGACACCTTGTAGGTATATCTTAAGGACTCAGGAATCTCATTATAATATAGGATCCGGGAATCATCATATTGTGCCTGGAAATCCTCCTACTAGTCATATGATAGGATTTTATATACCATCTTAATATAGGAGAATCTTAGCGTTAGGAACCACCTAGAGAATCAGTAGTATCCCTTAGAGACCTGCCGAATTACTGGTATCCCTTGACGGTCTCTTAGTGCTTTGTACACTCGAAAACCAAATCTAGTCATTGATACCTTATGCTACCGATCCGAAGAAGCTCAGATTTGTTCCTTTAGCGGGCTGTATGCTCTTCCTAATCCC